CTCCTAGCTTTCAACTAATCAAATATACTGAAATGAACAAAAATAGTCAATTTTGCTAGACTGGGAAATCTAAAGTCCCTACAGTAAGTTAATTCAGCATTATCATAGCAATAGCCATGTAGTTATTCTCAACAAGGAAAAAGAACAAGGTTATCACAATGAAAAGAGACAAACTAAAGCAAGGGTTCAGGAGTTCTGAAAATGTCACATTTACCCTTAACAGAAAATATGTTCTGCTTTTTCCAATCTGGAGACAGTTTTTCTATTTTATTTTTTTCTTTCTTAGTACACTGTCAAAACAGAGTGACAAAATAATTCCTTTTTGAAGCCTAAAATTATACCCAAGGAACTTCAACAGAGGAATAAAGAGCTATATGAAAAGGTATAGATAGTAACTCCCAGTAAATAACTGGTTGCAACTTCTGAATCACAATGAATTAAAGCATAATTTTTTTCTAAAACTATTTTTAAAAAGTTACTTTATATCCACACCTCTGCACCCCGAACACCTCACTCATCCACCCATACTCATTTAATACTATAGTGCTTCTTAAGTGTGATGCTGAGCAACCCCAGTGTCAGCCCAGACATTTGTCAGAAATGTAAATGCTTGGGCTCTACTCCACAACCTCCAAGGTCAGTGGTTCTCAACCTTCCTAATGCCGCAACCCTTTAATACAGTTCTTCATGTTGCGGTGACCCCCAACCATAAAATTATTTTCGTTGCTACTTCACAACTGTAATTTTGCTACTGTTATGAATCATAATGTAAATATCTGATATGCAGGATGTATTTTCATTGTTACAAATTGAACATAATTAAAGCATAGTGATTAATCACAAAAACAATATGTAATTATATACGTGTTTTCCGATGGTCTTAGGCGACCCCTGTGAAAGGGTCATTCGACCCCCAAGGAGGTCGCGGCCCACAGGTTGAGAACCGCTGTTCTAGGTGATTCTGCGGCTGCTAAAGTTTGAGAACCACTGTAATAGTTTATTTCATATCTACGCTGTTTTCTCTCCATTGATTTTTTTCTCCATTACCATGCTCACCACTGTCTTTACCTAGCTACTCAGCAACTTTGAGATTCAGCTCAAGCATCATCATTACTTCCTGACATACACCCCACCCAACTCAGCTACCCTTCACTTTAATACCTCTGTGAATATCATCATCATGGCACTTTCACCTTGTTATAACAAGTATTAATTGTCCCCTCTCAAGTGATTAAGACCATTACCCTCTTTAAAGATTTATACTATTTATGTGATGGATATAGAATGAGTGCTTACTATAAGCTAGGCATTATTCTAGGAACTTGGGACACAACAGTGAACCAAAAAAATAAAATTAAAAGATCCCATGAAGCTGACATACTGACGTACTGTGCATACTGTGTATGCTTATGTGTGCAAATATAAATTTTATACATTTCATTATACGTGTGTGTTAATAAAACAATGAAAGAAAAAAGAATAAATGATCCTTCTCAAATTTAACCTTGGAGAACAATTCCTTCCACTAAATTATAGACCACTCTGAAGGAAGTATTTATATGCCAAAAAGGTTTTCGAATTCATACGCTTAACACATAGATCTACTTTTTTCCTGCCACACTAGTGAAAAGACTCCACAATCAAACATCTTTTTTTAGTAAGATACCACTTACACAAAAGTCATTGTAAAATGTGCTTAAGGAATTTAAAACTACATTAAAAACGGGTACGATACTATTTCTATGGCTATGTTCTAAAATCGTCTTGATGTATATAAAATAAATATGTACAACTGTATCTGGAATATCTGGCTTTTATACACCGCATAATATTTTTCTTTGAAATGAGGATAAGCAGAAATGCAATTTGAGTTAATTAACTAAAATTTTGACTAAAGAAATCTAATTACATACACACTGCATAAAAATTCAACCTGAAATCTGTATTACTGACTTTGCTGAAGAACTGCTATTATTCGTAACTTGTCACTTGAGCAAGCCTTCATATGTCTGACTTATACTTTCCAGGGCTCCATTATATACCATAATTTAATTCTCTGGGACACAAAAATTCAATTTACTTTCCTACTTACTGATACATGATTCCACAGTGGGTTACTATGCTTATAGAAATCACCCAAAAGAATCAAAACACACCAGTTTCTCAAGAAAACTAATTTTTGAAGGGCTTGAGGTTAGTTCTCTAGGAATAAAATCAATTCTAAGAAAAACTTACAAAGTATTTTGAAGTCTGGTCTTTTATAACTATTTTTTATTTGGAAATTCTAAACGGCATTTTTTAAAAAAACACAGGGATAGAGACTTGAAGAATAAACAAAACACACTTCCTATTTTTCAAAAATAAGTAAATTTTAATGGGTCAGACTTTAATTGATTCTGAAATACTAATTGAAAGAGATAGCGAGAGGGAGACAACCTAAATCTAACAATTAAACCTTTATATATGTAATCAGCTTTTACCGTAGTAAACGTTATAAAAATGCTTAGTGATTTGCTCTTATATGCACACAAAACATGACAGATTTATAATGTTCATCTGACAGAATAAGTCCTTCTTGCAAATGTGGAAATTTACATCTCATCTGTATAAATGTAAAACAAACCCAACATTGTGTTAAGCCTTGAAAATCATATGTTAAGGGAAAACACTATGGTAAACAGCAGAAAAGATCGCTCTAAAAAGGCAGGCATGGCTCATGACTGAATACAACACAAAGACTTGTTTTATTGTCCTTAAAAACTTGATTAGTTACTATTATACTTAAAAATCTAATGTCTACTTTGTATTGCAAAGCCAGAAAACTGGCAAAACGAGGCTAAAATAAAAAGCAATCATGGGTCCCCCAGCGAGGACTTCCCTGCCTGCGCAGACCTCCACTGGCCTGCAAACACAAGTTACCGTGTCTGCTGGGCCCCAACAGGTATTTGAGATTTCCACCCCTGCACACAAGACAATGAGCTCAAGAGCAGAAATGTGCCTTGCCCATTTTTTATTGAGCACCTGGCTCAATTTAGTCATCAGTAAATGAGCAAGTAGGGAGGAAACCTTATCTGAGTTTATCTGTAAGGATCTAAGCACTAATACGAAAGTGCTCACCTCTGTTAAGATTTGAAAAGGTAACCGATCCTGTACGGGACTGGCAGATATTTAATGGGTGAATGGTTACATTTGTATCTTCTTTCCCCTGCTCTCACACCTAACTTTGATTGGTTTTCTCTATAGGTGTTCACAGAGCATCATCTGCTTTCTGGCAATAAAGACCTGACATGTCATGTCAAACTTTTCTAAGACAAAACCATGTGCGCTGGGTCACTGCTCTAACAGTATACATAACTGTGTATACTCCCACAACTAGCAGTGTGCATTCTTTCCAGGTTTGTCTTACCCGTAGGAGGGAAATGTTTCAAAAGCAACACCCCGTGGCCTGATGTGCCAAAAATGAAATTTCTCTAAACATCAGATATGAATCTTGACCTGAAAGGTGACACTAGAAATAAAACTGCAGTATCTCATGAAAAAGTCTCTGTTTGCTAGCCCCCTGCTGAGTTAAGCTACTGTGCCAGCAAAGTGGTCTCTATCTTGATTGGAAATTTTTTTCATTATGTGGACTAATGAGCCATTGGTCCACACCTGGAAATTTTCTTAAATGTATAAAATCATTCAAACATAACAGCAGGAATTCAGTTAGTTTTCCCGAAAAAAAAAAAAGATGCAAAATTATAGATTACACACAAAATTTTTATAACCATCCAAGCCAGAGATTCTTATTAAACTCAGTTTCTGCTCACTGTCTTATCGTTACAGTACTATTTATTCAGACATATTACATTTTAATGTTAGATTTGATGCATCTTTCAATTTTGATGCAAAGAGCAATATCTTCTCAAAATAAAATACTATCCCATTTATGACTTTCATGTGTGACTTAAATCATGTGTTACTTACTTGAACTGCATTGTTAAATTATATCAACATACTGAAAGTAGGAAACTCTGAGAGCAAGGAGAAGATAAATAAAACAATTTTGGAACAAGCAATTCAAATAAAATTCTTTTGGCAAAATTAAAATGTTAACATTTTGAAGAAGTTTATTACAAAGACATTGTAATAATAAGCTTGCTGCTATCTATTAGTTGACAGTATGCCTCTTTTCCTCCACCTATCTTTTTATTAATAGGTATAAATGTGATCAGCCAATTTTAAAATTCTAAATATTTTCTTCAAGAATATTTAATTGGAAACAAAAATACCCATTATATTGTACATGCATCTCTCAGAGATTTTGTAATCTTCACAGCTTTTACACAATTAATACAACTATCACTATCAACGAGCTATAAACTTCACACATCTTTGCTCCATATTAACTTGTGGCCTGCTCCGTAAAAAGCACCTGGAAGGGTGTTATTTTCACATGGAAAAAAAAAAACATGTCTACAGAAATAATGGATATCAGGAAATCCATATAGTAATTGATAAATGATGGTTCCAATTATTTCATTAAGCCTCAAAAGTGTATGTAATTCTTTAAAAATCGGATCTGTCACCAAAAAGATATAGGTAACAAGAAAATGGCAGCACTATGAAAAGTTTTCCAGCACATATGGAAATTTTTATTTAATAGTTTTAGAACTATGACTGTACTCAAGGAGCAGACAAAAGATGAAGTGAAAGAGTTGCCACAAAATACCTTCAAATTTACTAGAATAAATATAGTCAATAAATGTAAAACGTAAAAACAAAACAAAGTGTTCATTTACTTATCTCAGGATTATTTAAAATTATTACATTTATAAATTTATGTAAAATAAAATTCAGACTTCTAGCACTTTCTATAATATATAGCTCTGTAATGAAAATAATTCAACATTAAGAAAATCTTTTTATCATCTGTTTCTAAAATAGTACTCTTCTACATAAGTAAGCTTGCATAGTTTCAGTCTCCTAGATGTAAAAAATAAAATTCAAACTGCTCTTACCTTCTATATTCGGTAAGAAGATGATTATAATGATAAACCACAGACTTCGCATTCTGCAACCAGAAGACACCATTATTGATCCCTTTAAATATTTTCTTTGTATTCCTTAATGAATCTAGTTAAAAATGTCCAGCTTCATTGAACCCAGCAGTCTGCATCATTGATCCTCATATCTGAAAAACAAACAAATCCATCATTTACTCTATGGTCCTTTTACTTTACAAAAAAATGCGGAAAAAAAAAACAACAACAATAAAAATAACCATCCCTCCCTTCTTCCCTCCACCTCCTAATTATTAAAAAAAAAAAAAAAGGTATAAACTTTGATTCTATACCCACTATGGCAGCTGCGCCTAAACGCTGAATAGCGGAGCTTCGCATCTCAAAAATGATCAAAACCCAAAAAGCATTTATAGACAACCAGAACATATGAATCACAAAATAATAGTTATACAAGTTCCTAATGATGAATTTTTCTTTGAAAAGCTTATTAGAAAGTCATCCTAGAACAATTCATCTGTCACTATGTCAAATATTAGTCTTTTTATTAAATTACAGTTGACTCTTGAGCAACACAGTGTTTTAATGTGAGAGTCTGCTTATTATCAGTAAATACCGGTACTGTTTTTTAGGGTTTTTTTTTATTCACTGTTGGGAGCCCACATATGCAAAGGGCCAACTCTATGCATTGATCTACGCCATTTTATAATGGGGACTTGAGCATCTGTGGATTTTGGTATCCACATGAGGTGAGGGTGAAGGGGATATCCTGGAACCAATCCGCATAGAATCAAGGGAGAATTTGAAGTTTTGTGGGAGTCAAAAGTTATACACAAATTTTTCAACTGTGCAGGGTTGGTGCTCCAACCCCCACATTATTTAAAGGTCACCTGTACTAGCTTTAATACATAACACCTCTAACAAGATTTTATAAAAAACATATACTTGTTTGGTTTGTTTCTAGTAATGGTAGCAGCATCATTATCTACAACTTTATCGTGTTATCTAGCAAGACAGAGTAGAGATATAATGAAATGGTTTATTTTTCTGTACAAGGGTGCACAATTTTTAACATATGGTTGTACTTTATATAATAATGGCACTCCAAAATTATCTCATTTCCAAACACAACATATCAAATTATTATTCCTCTGACTGTTATTATTCATAGAGAGAGCCGATTAATAAAGTCTCAACTATTTCATTAGAAAGTTTAAGATTTTCAAATATTGTCTTTCCTTGCAGCAAGGTATAACTTAATATCAAACCTAGATCTTGAGTACATAGGTCCATCCACTGAACTCAAATAAAAACTCCAGCCCAGCCCTGGCTGCCATGCTAAGTGGTTAAGCATCAGCCTTCTCACTGAAGGGTTACAGGTTCAATTCCCAGTCAAGGGCACATACATGGGTTGTAGTGCAGAAGGCAATCAATCAATGTGTCTCTCTCACATGGATGTTTCTCTTTCTTTTTCTCTCACTCCATCCCTCCCTTCCACTCTATCTAAAAATCAATGGAAAAAATATCCTCTCCTGTGAGTATTAACAAACAAACCAACAATAAAAAATAACCCCAGACAATAATGATTTTATCTCCAAGGTTGCATCTCTAAAAACAAACAAAAGAACGAACTGGTGGAGAGGTGGCAAAAATATATATATAATCCTGAGCCAAGTCTAATTTTGACCAGCCCTTTAGGATCTAGATCTTCGACAGGAGAGAACACCTGAGATGCTTCTTTGTCCAAAGAAATAAGACAAAAACAAAGGAAAGAACAAGTTTCCTCTTCTGAATGCCAAAAGTATGAAAAGAATGGATACACTGGAAATTAATGGGATGGAGACACAGGGCACACAACCCTGCAGAACCGGCTAGCTGCCTCTATCCATTTTTCACTCTGAGCTCCCAAAGACTAGTCCAAAGACAAACCCCAAAGTAAACCTGCAGCTTACAACTGCTGTGGCAAAGTCCCTGCCTTAAAACTGCAAGCTCTTTTATGGAAAGCATAAGGAGAAGTCAGATAATTTCATGGCTTGTCACATTGAAAAGCCCCACCAATAAACAATTTCTTATACCCTATAGACTGTTCAATGAGCTGATGAAGCAAGGAAAGTAAGTTTAATGTGTGAATGAGGTACGTTCACTACTACAAGTAGAATTACATATGAGCCTTTGGAATGCTCCTGACAGAATTCTGACTGTCCAAGCTTTGGTTGTAATGGGTACTTTCACGTCAATGAACAAACGCATACAGGCTGCTTCCCCACAAGCACAACTCTTGAACACATTTCCACTTTCTTAAAGCGGTCCAAGATCAGTCTGTCTTCAGTCATCCGCTCTTTGAAAGAGTCCTTGTTTGTGGGAAGAAAGGGAAGGAAGAAATCAGGGACTGATGACTGCCTTGTAGGAAACAGCTGCCAAGATAGGAAAACCTCTGTTAGTGAGGGGAAAAGGAGGAGGAAACCGCACAACCAAGGCCTCTTTTGTGGTCTTTGGCCAGGACACAGTATTTTATGAACAGGCTTTAACTATACTAAAATTTCAGTGGAGTCTTAAAATCTGAATGTAGAACACAATTTTAAAAGTATGCTCTAGTCAATTATGAGACAGTACAAATGACTGCTTCTAACAAACAGAAACAGGTTCTGGAATGTCATAAAATCATGGCTTCTTTTATGTAAATAAAGCTGAAGTCTGTCCATCATTGTGTAATGAGTAACTAAAAAGAATATCACATTTATTTTTCTACAATCTATAGCCAATCACTTTCATATCAAATAAAATTATTTTCAAAAGCTCAAGTTCTGCCCCGCCAGAGCAGCTCAGTTGGTTGAGTGCTGGCCTGTGCACTGAAAGGTTGCCGGTTTGATTCTCGGTCAAAGCACATACCTGGGTTGGGGTTCGATACCCAGCTGGGGGCACATATCGAAGGAAGGCAACCAATGGATGTTTCTCACATCTCCTACCCCATCTCTCTAAAACATGCCCTCAGGTGAGGATTAAAAATAAAAAAGCAAAGCTCAAGTTTTAAATGCAATTCTGAAAGCTTAAAGTCAAAAGATTTTACTGCTGTGATCCAAATTAAAAACAACCTTCCATTTAAAAATTTTAATGAACACTGAAATACTTAGCAAACCACAATCAGCAAAGGATAGAATGAATAAATAATCAAATATGGTGAAACTAATCCCCAAAAAAACATTCCTCCTACGTCAAACTCCAGCCAACGGACACTCACAGGCATAGATGCAGCTAACACTCTCCCTTCCAACTCTGTAACTACCTGCAAAATGGAGTTCGGGAAAAGCTGCTCACAATGCAAAAGAAAACAAGAAACAAAATCAGAAAAGGGCTATTAAATTTTCTTTCAACAAACAGAAAAGATGAACCCAGTCCCCATATTAATAACCAGTTTGTCTTTAGGTGTTGTGAAACCTTCTGCCCTATTCCCTCCTCCCCACCCCCTCCCCCTCCCCCCATAACTTCAGAGAGGAACTGGGACGGTAAAGACAGAGCGCCAATGAAATCCCTCCTAATGCTAAGTAACAGTTCATTTCTTAATAAAACCAGAAACAGAACATTTCTACTTAAACTATAAATAACTATGCTTTTTCAAAGATCAAAGGCACTTCTAATGTACTATAACCTCATCCTACATTTCTTCTTATCCTTCAAGTAAGAAGATTCAAACTATTTCATCTATAAACCACATGCCATTGTATACCAAGCCTCTGTCAAGATTTTTTTTTTTTTAGATCTAGGTATCCTATTACTCTGTCATGTAAAAAGTCAATTAATGCATCATTACTACTAAACCTTCCAAAGCTGAACAAGGACTTCCAGGAATACGCATCAGCATTGTTTATATCCTAACAGTCTTCAAAGTTTTATACTTCACTTACAATATACAGTTAGTTGTAGTCTTTCAGACGGTAACCTGCTTATATAGGGTTGGGCAAAAAATGGTTTACAGCTTAGTACACGAAACACAGGATTTATTCTTGTATTATTTCTTAATTTTTGTATTATTTTTCCATAGAAACAACTGTAAGCCTACTTGTGGCTCACCCCTGAATTTATTAGCTGCATTAAATATTCCATCCTGTGCCTTAAATTGTGGGCAAAATTAGGAAAACACCAATAGTCATGTATTTATGGAACATTACCAGGAAATCACATTTAACCTTATATTAATGATGCCTATTTAGTAAAAATAGAAAAAATAAAAAGTATTTGTTGATAAGCATCAGTGCAAGAAGTAGCATTTAACAAGCTTCAAGGTAGTAAGAGGAAAAGATCATTTAAAATTGTCTAAAACTGGTTAACTAAGGTTGATATATTCTATTAAGAGCAAAGCCACCTTAAAGATTCATATATAAAGCTTTATCTTTAATTTCTATTCGTAGACACTAAACTGCTGTGAACACTAGATATTAAATGCAAAACACCTCTATGCATGGGAAGAACAGGGGAAGGAAAGAGCCATCCAAGCATGAGACCTACAAAAGTCACCCCTCCATGTTATTAAGCGCTAACGCTATATAAAATAAAAGATTAATGTTTGGGGTAAGCCTAAAATTCTACGCACTAAATGTATGTCAACTCTAAATGAAAGCTAAAGATAGCTGTACAAGATCTCTCTTTCTGATCTTAGTTGTGCTATAAAATTATAAACATTACGGGGCATTATTTACTTGTAAAAGAAAGCTGCTTTTCTATATTTTACCAAAACAAAAACAACAAAAAAGGATACCAAACCCACTCTGCCCCCATGCAATAGAAAGTGAAAAATAAATTAGCTGCATTTTAATTTAACTAAACCTCGCTCGGTGGTCATTTTTCAGAAATATCTTATGTGCAGTCAGTCCTTCTAGGTCAGAGTCTCCCCTTCTTGTTAACATAGGAGAAAACATCTACACGCTTGGGAGTTTTCTTTCAGTAAGTCGTCTAAGAAAAACCGTTGCTATTGCTAATCAGAAAGCCTTTTTTTTTTTTTTTTTTTTTAGCTCCAGGCATTCAGCGTTCTTTGCGTTTGAGTTTATTTTCTTTCTCTCACGAGGATAGGGTTGGGGCTGAGAATGCTGATGGAGATTTTAAAAGCACGTGACCACCCCTAGTCGCCACCCTGTTTCTCCCTTTCATTTCTGCGGACACCAGTATCAACTCTAGAGTA